AGAACATTCCTTTAAATGGCAGGATTAAAAAACCTAAACCCTCCACCACAGTGCATTTTGGGAAGATGTCTGTAGCATATGTTGCTGTGAAATTAGGCCTTGTGGGATATGGCTGTTTGTCATTTTGATGTATTTTAAATAAATAAATATATATATATATTTTTAAAAGAGCCTTTTTTACCAATTCAGAAAGTTTAATTAACCAGCAGTCACCACATCTGAATTTTTGTCTCTGGGGCATAGATGGCAGACCACGCTTAAAAGTGGTAGCTCAGCCATGCGCGTGCGTGCGTTTGGGCTACCTGCTGCCTGCCTGGGTGGTCCTGGGGGCTGTGGGACACCAAGGTCAGTGTGTTCCTTGTGGGGCCCAACCAGCCCGAGGGGCTTTTGGTCTCTGCCCTGTTCAGTGGACTAGTGACTTCAGTCCCTGCAAGTGCTTTAGCCCAAATGGGGTTTTCTCAGAGCACTGCCACGAGTTAAGTGTATGTTTAGCCAAATAATTTCTCCATAAGGGAAAAAAACGCGCTCATCCAAATTTTACCAGCAGTGACAGAGATGAGAGTGAGAAAGATCAGGCAACATCTGGGTTTTTAAGGAAGTGTCCAAGTGGTTGTCAAAGGTTGTCTGAGAGCCAGTGATCATACAGAGATTGATAGACGATCTCATCTGAAAGTGTTAAGACCTCCTGTGAGGGGGTGGAATTGTTAAAATGCCAGCAGCTTCCTACCCCTCCCCCCCATTTTTTCCTAGGATTTTGTAAAAATGCAAAGAAAAATGAGTGGTACTTGAGAATCTAGGGTGAGGGGTTACCGCAGACTAGAAACAAACATACTTTTAGATTTCAGTTCCACATACAAATCCACACAATGCCATTTTTCAACTGTACAAAAGAATCTGCTTGTGAATTTGACATGCTTTTAATGGTAGTGTCTGAGGCCGAATTTTTCACCTATTTGATCAGATTATTTTCCACATTTGTCCTTGAGTCTGAATAACTTTATACAGTACTGTAAATTTCACTTCTATTGAGTTTGATGTCAATTCTTGTGAAAAGAGCTTCTGCACCTAACATATAGTTAAAGAACACAGCAGAATACAAAATTTGCAGGACCAATTTTAGAATCAAGAGTGTCACTTCTCATTTGCCATCTTATCTATCAGTTTTACCAGCTACTTCGAAATTTGTACATTATTTGTAAGGAAAAGAAGGAAAACCCTAAGACTTGTCTAACTTAGTGGAGAATGTGTGTGTTGGGTTTAGGGTGGATAGCAAAGTCTTATTGAGCTGTGTTAACTTGTACATAAAAATTGTAATTAAAAGTTTGGATTCACCTGTTTCTTGCGGTTTAAAACAATGAGTAATTGCAAACTCTGGAAATGTGACTAGTATATGATTTAAGGCTATAGAAGTGAGGAAGCTCTTCAAGTGCTAAAACTAAAGACTTCTAGTTTTTGGCTCAAATTCAATAAGTACTGTTTGTATACGAGGATATGTGAGATGTAAATGTAATAGGTCACTTTTCACCCTTGTAGCTATAAAGTAAAAATTTTGTAGAACAGAAATAGCTTGTACTACTGAATTAACAAAAGTTATACTAAAGTATGTTTTTTTTAAAATATATATATATACACAGTTAAGCTTGTTGCTGTTGCCCTGTCTGAATTTGAAGTGTGCTGATTTATATATATATAAATACCACACATACACACATATGTATTAGACACACGCACACATCAAAAATGGCCTAAAGCAGACATCCGTGTAATTACAGTTGCAAAATGAAGACATTTTGGAAAGAACATTGTATCATAGTTCATTCAGTTGCAGTGGATCTTTGTTCCTTTTTACTGTGGTAATTTTAGAAATGAGTGTCAAGTTTGAAATTAGATCTGCTAAGTTGGGGTTTTGCTGCTTGAACTCTGCACTGGGTCCTCAAACCGATGTGAATGTAGTTTTTCCCCCTGTGTGAAGAAGCAGCCACACCCCAACAGAATAGGAGGAAAAATCTAGAATTATTTCAAGTTTTATCTTTTTGTATATGAAAATAAAATGATAATAATAAGGACTTGTTGTCTTAATCATGTGGCAGGGGGTGGAGGTCTCTTTTCATGGGAATTAGACATAAAATGGTGTTCTCCATTTAACAGGGCCGACCTGAGCACCCCTGGGAGTTCCTGCTGGAGCACAGCCACTGTTAGGGGATTGCCTAGTACTCGACAGTCGCCGTGGGGCAGGATCCTAGCCTAGGTCTCCATTTCTGCCTTTCAGAAGCCCAGCACCTAGTTGGCTTCACCTAAATGGATTGTTGGGGACTTTGGGCAGGTTTCTGCTAGGCAGGGGTGTAATTTCCACATCTCCCAGTATCTCCAAACATACGCCCCACATCAGTCCTATCCATTGCAGGCAGCCCTGAGCGTATTTGTGTTCACTGGAGCAGAGAGGTCTAGATTGTCATTTATATTTAGGATTACTGTGGAATACAAGTCCTGCCACTCCCAAACATGGCTGAGTAGCAGGGTCACTTGCTGAGCTATTAAAGTACAGGATGCTGGGCTACCACCCCAGATCTAAATCAGTAAGCCAAGTGTCACATTTTGGAGTTCCTGACATCTGGCCAAATGAGAACAAGCTTTCCTGCCAGCAAAACGACAGTCTCCACTATCTTAACAAAACAGCCCCCAAAATCACCTCATCGCTTTGTGCACTCCCGTGGTGCTTTTTTTTTAAAAGCCTCTGACTACTGTTTTCTAAGTGGAGAAACACCAACTTTGAATCCTTGGGGTAAATGCCTTTTTATTCACCTTTTATTATGAGGATTAAACAACCTGCCTGGTTTTGTTAGCAATTTTTGATGAAAGGGCTTTTATTGGGTGACCAGTTGTCCAGTTGGGTGTTCCTTTTTGCTCTTGCAGATTTATGGAGTTCACCTTTGATTAGCAAGTGTTCTTAATGTAGAACAGAGGAAGGGAAAGGCTAACATTTTTTGCAGTTAAATGCTCTACCCCCGAACTGTACCTTCCAGACTAACATTTTGAATGACTTTTGAGCTAGAAAGTTGCAGCTTGGATGATAGGGGTCACCTGATCACTTTCTCTTTAGCAAAGGAATCCTTTGACCTAAAGGAACTGGTTTATAAAAGCAATCTTGTCCAAGTGATCAAGTAAAAGAGGGCTGTGGGAGGAGGTGGGTTCATGCACCTTGTTCTATTCCTTGGGGTGGGTGCATGCACTCCTGTGCACCCTGGGGATTATGCTTAAGAGAGGCAGTCCTTTCGTTCCTCCACTGCTTACACATACAGCCTCTGGAGGAGGATGTCACCTGTCCTTTACTTCCAATGGAAGAGCCTTGAGAAATACTTAAGTGAGCGAATTAGTAAATTATGGTAGAAGCTATAGAACTAACTTGGAAACCTACAGATACCAATGTCTGCTATTTGTCAGGACTCTTGGTTGCAAGTATCAGAAACTATTAAATAAAATGGCTTTACTAGAAGGATTCTGGGGAAAGTGGGAAAGGCACCATGTTTTTGGGTTTTCAACATTTCATCCACTACTGCTCAGTCAGAGGTTAGATGCTCCTGTGTCTTTGTCTACTGATGCAGGCAATAAGGTTGTAGACAGTGCCAGTCTCATGTCAACAGCTTTGCTACTTTGGAGAGAAGTCCAGATCCAAAATCCCTGGAAAGACTGGTTGACATAGCTCAATCATTTAGGACCAGAGACTTAGAGTCTTACACAAAATGACATTATGATTGGCACTTCTAAAGTGTCAATGGAAGGGGGGCACGGAGCCATGAGGCTGTGGAAACAGTGCCTGCTCTTGACTAGATTGGAAGAAATGGCCTCCTGCTTAGTGAATGGTCCAAAGGGGATGCTGGAGAATGTTTTGCGAAATGAAAAAGACCTGTTTATTGTAAGTGGGAGTGCATAAAATATCCTTAAGCAAGCATTTAGACATTTAGATTTCTTATGTAAGACTCAACATTGACCAATATTTACAGCGCACTTACATGGCTCAGGTTCTTCCTTCCTTAAATACTTTTTTTTTTAAAGATGTATTTATTCGTACAGAACTGGGGTACAGGCCAGAGATGCAGAGGGTGAGAGGATTCACCAGAGACAGAGTGGGGAGCAGAACAGGCAGATCGACAAAGTACACTGCTGAGGGGAGCAGTGGGCGGGTCAGGAGAGGTCTGCCTCGCCATGTGGTCGCCTCCGGGGCAGGCAGGAATCGAACTCATGCGGAAGTGGCTTTAGTTTCTTAGTGCAGTGCTTTAGCCCGCTGCGCCACCACGGAGGGCCCTTTTCCTTAAATACTTTAAACGGACCGTTTCCTTTATCTTCCCAAGAACCTTCTAGACTCAGTAGGAGTATTTCCACTTTAAAGGAAGGAAATGGAGGACTTGAAGATGAAGCCACACATCCAAGGTGGAAAGTGGTTGCATGGGAGCCAACTCCTCACTGTGATTCGGAGCCCTGTGCAACCTCGGAGCACTCTCTGAGAACTCCTGCGAGGAGACGAAGCTATTTTCAGAAGTGATGTTTTGTTCAGAGGTTTCTTCTGCTCTCTGAAAGAACACCCCAGTTTGGTATGGTAGCTTATTGTGGGGGTCTGGAAATGATCAAATTCTGCTTTCAGATATTGGGAAAACTGCTCTATATGACTAGAAAGACAGGTGTCGTGAGGACATTCCCTGTGGCACAGGGACCTGGTTGGAATCTCTGCTCTGAGGGCCTTCGAGTAAACATTCTTCCATTAAGTGAGGCTAAAGGCATCTTCTTGGGATATGCACACTACTGAACGCTCTGTGCCCTCAAGAGAGTCAGGACCCCCCACTCACAATCTCAAGCGACCAGGAGCCTGTGGGCCTTCAAGTTTGCCACCAGGGGGCGCGCGAGGCCCTCAGCGGGACGGTCCGCACAGCGTGGGCAACTCCACTGTGCGCGTGCGTGTTTGGGTTTCGCGACTGTGATTGGCTTCCAGGCCCCGTGTACGCATGCGCCAAGGCAAGCGGCAGGTGTCTCGGCTAAGATGGCGGCCAAAAGTTTTGCTTCCCGCCTTAGAGGCTCCCGGCGCTTTTTGAGCGGCTTCTGGACCGGAGCTGTGGTGGGCGCCGCGGGAGCTGGGCTCACGGCCATGCAGTTCCTCCGCAGTCAGAGCTCCGAGGCAGCGTTGGCAGTGCGCGAGCCGGACGGTGAGTGTGGATCCCCTGCCCCTTCCCTGCCCGGGTTCCGGACCCGAGTCCTACCGCGGCCAGGCATCGTGTGCTCCACGCGCGACTTTCTCCGCCCAGCCGCGAGCCCGACTCTGGTCTTCAGCCATTCCAGTTTCCCAGCTCGGCCCCCTCTCCCTGTCTCGTCTGCCCGCTTCACCTTCCTTCTTCCTCCGGGGATCGGGATCCCACAAATATTTACCATAATACCTGTGTTTTATTGTCAGTGACCTCTAGATCGCTGCCTCTGTGGGCGCTTAGACTAGGTTTTGCTCACCACTTACACAACACGGTATGTGGTATCTAGTTGGCATTCAGGGCATATGAATGAATCAAATGAACACATAGTTTTAGCAGATTAGTCACTTGTCCTCATTTTGTCATCGTTCAAATGCCAACCCTTCTTCAAAGTATGCCAGTTCTCTAGTGACCCAGAAGACCTTTTATTTGATAAAGAAAATGAGCTCTTGTTCATTTCTTACACATACCCATGCTAGTTAAACCTGCTCTTTCTGTTACTTGGTATTTAGCAAGAAAACGACTCTGAGGGATTGAAATCTGGGGAAAGTATTGAGAAGATTCTATTGAAATCCACTCATTAAATGTGTGCTTGGGTTCTCCTGCTAGAAAAAAGTTACCAGTTTTGCTACAGTCTGGCTACTGCACACATCTCTGCTTGGATGACGGGATATTGCTGAGGGATGTAAAGGAGAGGTAATGGTCTTTTATCCCCCTACTTACTCTTTAAACACACTGAGTATTGTAGGCTCTTTCCAGGTCAGTAATCTCAGTGACTAGGAATGAAGTATTTCCTTTGATTGCTACTTTTGGTTTACACAGGAGTTTGTGGGCACAGAGATTGTTGAAGCTGATGTGAATGGCCAATAGGATCAGATCCTTATTGAAAATTTAATGAAATAGCTGCAGTTTATTTTACTCTAACTATACAACTAATTATGTTACAGGGCACCCCAATGTGAATTGGGTGTCTGTGGGTCCCCACCTGCGCGCTTAAGATTCAATCGTATTATGGACACACTCAAAAAGGTTCAGTAATGGATTTATTTACAAGGAGGAAGGTAAAGGAACAACCCACGGAAAGAGGGAGAGAAATACAAGTTAAGTAGAATGTCCTACCAGTTCTGCTGACTTGGACTCCACCAGCACGCTGAAAACTAAGTGACCAGCCCCTAATCACCAGGCCAAGAGATCCCCAGAGCCCACATGACCGGTTTTATCCTAACCTGGTTGCTCAGCTCAGCTGTGATGTCTCAGCGCCCCAGGGTGCTTCTCCTTGGTATTGATGGGATTAGTAGTTCCAGTATCTGGAGTGGGGGCAGAGCCCATGAAACCTGTATCTGTTACAATTATAGGCAAAACCCAATATTTTGCCTGCTGGCTGTGCCTAAAAGCCAGTATTTGTCTCTTTGTCTTCTAAGTAATTGCAAAAATGACATATCTGGGATCATAATTTTGAGCCAGTCCTTTGTGTGTAAATCTCACCCTACTCCCTTATAATTTTCTGTTTCTACTAAGAGTCACTACTTAATTACTTGTTATTTTGCCCCCCCCCCCTTTTTTTTTTTTCATTTTTAGGTTCTGCGGAAAAGGCTGTCTTGGAGCAATTTGGTTTCCCTTTAACTGGAACAGAAACTAGATGTTACACTAATCATGCTTTGTCTTATGATCAGTCAAAGCGGGTACCTAGATGGGTCCTTGAACATATATCCAGAAGCAAGATAATTGGTAGGTGACTAGAAGCAAATGTATTTGCGAAAGATGTTTCCAACTTTCGAACTAGGAAGATGATTGTTAACTTCAGCATTTTTCATAATGTAGCTCATACAGAAAATAATGAAGTTGGTGTGGCTAAATGGACTCAACCTGGTAGCCAGGGAGCCCCAGGTTAATTCCCAGATTAGTCTTGGGACTGAACAATTCCATTTCTTCTTTTCTCTTTAAGATGTATTTATTCATGCATATAGAACTAGGGTACAGCCACAGGTACAAGGGCGGTGAGAGGCTTCATCAGAGACAGTGGGGAGCAGAACAGGCCGACTGGTGAAGTACACTGCTGAGGGGTGCAGTGGGCGAGACAGGAGAGGTCTGCTGTGCCATGTGAGTCCCCTCCCTGGCCGGGGATCGAACTCATGCTGCAGTGGCTACAGTAGTGCTGCAGCTTAACTCCTGTGCCACCAGGGAGGCCCCTACAGTCTTGATATTTGTCAAATTGGTTTCGCATCAGTGTTCTGTCTCTTCCAACTCTCAACCATAATGAACATCATTGAGCATACCAATCTAATAGCTGATTTTACTTGCCTATTGGTTATCATGAGGGTTTTCATTTTGTAAATTAGTCTTTGTGAATTTTTCTTTACCATTTTCTCTTGGGATATTTAAAACACATTGATTTGTAGGCATTCTTTTATGTTAAGAATATAACCTTGTCATATATGTTTTATTCCCATTTTAATTTGCTGTGTGCCCCACAAACTATTTCTCCTTTGCTATATAATACATATTGTGTTTGTATATATAGAAAATTCTGACATTAAATAAATGTGAGCCTTTCTAGACTGTACATCAATAAGCAGAATATCAGGAGGCTTGTCAGGTACTTGCTGCTAGAGGGAACTAATGCTGTTAGAAACTTTATCATAATAGTTGAAAAAATTATAAATTTGCATCAGTGACATTGTTGATTTAGTCACAAGCCTAAGGAATTTCCTTTAAACACAAAAATTTAATGAGGAACTTTGGCTTTACTAATTTTATCCTGCTATTATTACTGTCAGAAGCATATAAGAAAATCACTGTGTTCATATTGTAAATTCTCTGAGTTGTGTCATTTTGAGGAGGTGAACTAAAACTAGTCAATATTTGAAAACAGCAACATACCTGTGATTTACTTGATTTTAGTGTAAAGATTGGTCTGTTTTCAGTAATGATAGACTAAATTATTCAGGCTATTTCTCCTGCTTACAGGAATGTTACTAGCATTATGTAAGAAGTATATAGGAAAAAAAAAAAAAAAGCAGCAAAATATTGAAGAGCCAAGTTGATAGTGGAATTGCCAGTCCTCATTTTGGGTGAGCCAGATACAGAGAAGCGAAGGTGATGTTCTTTTTGGAGTTAGTGTGGGGTCCTTGTGTTCACTGGGGGAGAAGTTTCACTGGAATGCCCTTTCAATGGCATGCGGTGAGTTCCCAGGCGTTTCTCCATGAGACAGAGACTCGGTTATATTTAAAGAGCACTTTTGGCCCTCCCTGGTGGCGCAGCGGGTTAAAGCACAGCACTGAGAAGCTGAAGCCACTTTCGCATGAGTTCGATTCC